CACAGGAGCTTAAGTACCGAAACATGGAAAATTCCAGGAAGCAACTGAACATGCCAAAGCAGAAAAGGCCTCACCCGAGGTAGCTTTCACTATTCAGATTCTCATTGTGACAAAGCAAACCTCAAGTTTCTTCCCCATCCATGCTATTCTCTATCACCAGTGCCTCTGAACATCTTTCCCCAGATCCAAGCAAACTGTCAAAGCAATTAGCATAGTGCTAAGAACTGAGTTATGGAGCCAGAGACCTAGGTTCAGATCCCAGTTCTGCATTAGTAGTTGCTTGAGCCTTCCAATCCATACATCAAACATGGAGATACAGCACTCATTATAACAAGGTTATCGAGAATAAATGAGATGTGAATTTACGTTGAAACGACCACACAGTAAGCACTGAAAACATGTTAAACGATTATTGGAAATGCAAATACATGGAGTTCTACACATAGAGTTCCACAGATTTCTAGAAGATATGCACGCTTGTATCTGAAAATCAAGCAGACAAAAGCTACTACAACTGTCTCTTTTTCTTTGAGTTCTAACATTTACTGGGCATCCTTAGACTACAGGGAGCCTTGACCCACATGAATACCTTGGATCATCAGTGTGGTCAGTGCATCTGAAATACACTTTCATTTTATCTGATGGAGGTAAGACCCCGTGATGGCAGTTGCTGTGGAAATCTCATTCCGTTTTCTTCCTCTGAGACCTTCAAGGCTTCCTGAGGAGGATGGCTGCTCTTCATGACACTGTTCTTTCTGCAACACTTTGGATCCAAGAGATCTTCAGACATATATCTCGAGGCCTCAGAAGTGGCAGTGAGCCACATAAGCAAGCCCTGGTAGCATAGAGTTACCTACTGATCTGCTCCTGTTAAGACTTGCAGACTCAGAAACCCAGTGAAGGGCTTCATTGAGTCAGAACTGACTCTATGACACGTGGTTTCATGTGCATGATCAGTTGAGGATGTAAGGGTCCCCAGTCAAGAACGCTGTCCTGGAGGGGTTCTCCCTGCCTGCAGAGCTGTGTGAGCCACTCCATGACTTCAGCAACAAGATCAAGAGGACAGACTGTGGTTAGACAAGCAGAGTGCTAAGTCCCAGAGCTCGGTATAAACCTGGGAACATTACTCCAGTTCTGTCTTGGTTCCCTCACCCATAAACCAGTTCTGACCACATGAATGAGGTCATAGGTGGAAAGCTTTGGCATAGCACCTGGCATACAGCTCAGCTCCCAGGAATGGCAGAGATCCTTGCAGTTGATAAAAACAAGGCTCAAAGTAGTAAATGAGTGACAATTCATTGTCTTTCCTTTCTTTTTTTTTTTCAACTATTCCATGTTGCCTTCCAGTGAGGCTCAACAATATTTCCCTGTTGGTTTACATTATAGCCGAAGAAATGAAGAAAAATTTCATGTGGCATTTAAATAGCTAAAGCAACAAAAGGAACAGAGAAAGTAAGTCAAGCTGACGCCTGGAGGACTCTGTAGAGGTGAGGACATGGTGAAACAAAAGGGGTTGGGATTGAGAGGGTCAGTGAGGACTCTCAGGAATAAGAATGCTTGAAAGGATGGTGGCATTTCAACTTCTTCTAGTTTCAGGAACAACAGTCACTTCTCAGAAACTTCACTGGCAAAGGCATTTCTTCCAAAAAGTTAAGTTTGCCAGTCTGGACAAATGATGTAACTTCACTTTTGCTAGGAAGGAAAGGGATTTAACTAGGACAAACATGCCATCAAGGCTTTAAAGAAGCAGACAAGGGAATAAAAAACCTGGCTCAGAAATAGGAAGCATGAACTTTCTAGGTTGTGGACAGTTGTTCCAAGTTTTCTAGCTTGACAGGAAAAACATATTTTTTATGTATCTAATCCAAATAACATTTATCCAGTGTCTCCTTATGACCATCACGTAATACTAGAAACCTTCAGAGGGCATTAACCAATCTCCTTTTAAGGGAGCAGGAGCAATGAATGATGCTGGGTTTATCTTTGCTTCCCTGAACTTCAAGCATCTCCACATGACCAAGCTGACTTGAGCTCAAGTCAGCTTGGTCTCAAGGAAAGGCCTATGTAAGCTGAAGGTCAAGAGTGAAGGTTCATCTTATAAACATGCACTTAGATGTCTCTCACACGGCTTTTGGTAAACACAAGAAAGGGCTTTGAAGCCAGGTCCAGCATTTAGTGTCATCATTGTAGCCCAGATCCCTTAAAGGAAAAAAAAAGCCACAACAGGGGATACAAACTTTTAATATACTTTATTGACTCAGAAGCCAAACAAGGCAGCATTTGGTCACTTGAGAAAGGCACCTTATTGAAAACAGTACATCACAGTGCTGTTGAGTGATCCCAGTCAGAGGATTTGAGGATGGAAAGGACAATCTTTGGATGACACTGCTTAGGGCACTTGCATATTTATGACAAAGAGTTCCTTCACACACCACGTATGGAGGAAGAGATGAGTGTGGGATTCTGGCGTGCGCTGGATGGCTGCTGAGAGCTGATCCATGAGAGCAGGTAGACTGGTAAATAAGTGGCAAGGCAGGGGAAGACAGTGAGACCGTCTTGCTCTCCAGTTCCCATGATTCCAGTCAGCTTGATTTGCTGAGCCACTAGTCTCATGAATACCCTCTGTATCTCTTTCAGATGTAGAGATGATTGATTTCGGAGTATAGGGAAAGAGGTTCAGTAGTTAGGAGTCTCCCTACTCCGAGCTATAGGACAGGTGAATAGTTCCATTTCCTGCATTCTTAGGCTGGCAATCCATGAAGTTCTGATATAAAAGCTGAGTGAGGTTTTAGGGCATTAGCTTTGAAAAATATTGTCATCAGTTCAGAGTAAATGAAAATCCGATTCTGTAGAAATTATAATACTGTACCTCCTTATTTATACCCATATCCTCCAATCAGTGTTATTTTAAATTCATTTTCCCTTTTCCTTATACTTTTAAAACCTTCCACCTGTGTGGAAAGGAAACCACCTCATTACATAACACTGCTGCTCTTCCAAACACCCCCTCTTGTACCCCTGACCACCCCACCCCTCTGCCCAGCACCTAAGAGCAGGGATCACGCCGCGGGGTGATGAGCAACGGTGCAGTCTCGCCTGGCCTTCTGTTACTAGGCTGAAATAGAGAGAGGAAACAAGAGAGAACAAAACGGGTTTTTTAAAAGCAAATAAATTCAGAGGAGGCTGGCATGCACGACCCAGCAACCAAATGCATTAAACACTAGCCATTTCTTGCCTGATGACAGCTCTCATGCTGCTGAGATTAAGACTGGAATTAAAGGAAGCAAAATCAAATCCTAACCACCCCAAGAAAGGCATATACATCCTGTGACCCTTTAGTTCTCTCTCACTAGCAGCCCATACTATGTGCATGTGTGGATATACACACGCATGTAAATACAAATGGGTAGAAGACAAAAAAATTGAGCAAGACTCATGCACATTCAATTAGCAAAGTTGGAAAGCATCTTCTTAGAGGCCATGTGTCTACAGCCCCCCTCTTCAAAGGGAGCTGATTCCCAAGAATCATGAGGCCACCCCCATCTACTTCTCTGCAAGCAAAGCTGATGGTTTTGGTTTCACTCTTTTCAGTCCATTCCCAGAAGTCAGGTGCTTCCCAGAAACATACAACACTAGACTTGATTTCCATTAAGAACAGGCACAGTTAGTTTAGAGCTAGAGAAACAAACCAGAGCAGAGCCAACAGACACTCATTTGGGCCAGAGAGAGGAGAAAGCAAGAATGCCACATACCAATACTCAACTTCCACGTGGACAAAAGTAAACCTCTGGCAGCCCCTCTGACAGCAGGAGAGCTCAGGTCAGACAGAGCCCAGGCACTTCAGAGTCCATTCCATCAAGTCAGCAGATTACACTGAAGCAGGTGGCATTATTTACTAGATCTGCCTCTGACTGTCTAATGGCTTTTCCAGGTCTGCTGTGCTGTATTTTTGGGTGGGTTTTTTGGTTCTTCACAGTAGTCTATTAACTCATCTGTTGTAAGCCAAAGCCAGAGGTAAAAAGGTCACAGCATCGTCCCCAGGAAACACTTAATGGTTGGGGAGCTGAGGTTAGGGGTAATTACAGTCATAGGTGAGATCTTTTCAGGGGTGTCTGTGGTCAGAGCCATCATGAAGTAAACTGGGAAGCATTTATCTGGAAGGGAAAGGGATTGGGTTCAAAGGAACATGCTGATTTGGGTATCATAACTTAAGAGACTGGGAATGAATAAATGAACCCAAGAATAAATTAACCCCAAATCAGAGTTGTAAATCAACTGGAAGCTAAAATAAACCTAAAAATGAAACAAACCTACCCTGGTCTGTTTTGGGGAAGTGGATTAGGCTGTCATTACACGCCTGGTCTGGATGTTCAGACAGCAGTACGAATTCAGAACTTTTTAATTTAATTTTTTTAGCAGTAACCCTTTTGACAACACTGGCCCCAAGTGATTCCTACTATACAACACTATGATACAGATCATAAAAATAGTCTAATTTGTCTTGGCCTGCTCTCCAGTGACTTCCGGATTCTGCGATTATCTTTTTTTCCTCTATGGGGGGTAGGGTGGGTGGAATTTCATGATCCCTGCCCACACTGTGGTTTGTCACTACAGGCTAAAAACCAAGTGGAGTTTCTGCCAACAACCTATCAGCAGGACCTCTGACCCTGTCTGATGTCATGTAAGCCTGGGTTTTTCCCTATTAGCTATTGCAGATGGAATAAACACCATGAGGTTTTGAATTTGAAGTGCCTGGCAGATACCTGGGCTAGTTTATTTTGTTCAAACAACAGTAATCCAAGAGTTTGACACAAGAATTCAACTGCCAGTAAAAAAAGCTAACCTGTAACTTTGGAAGTAAGAGGGCATATGGGTACTGACATAACCTGTAACTTAAAGTGAAAGTTAAGAGTATTTACAACTGACACACACGAATGCGCACGCACGCACGCACACACACACACACACACCACGAGATGAGAGTTGCACATCCACCACAGATACATCAAGCAAGTGCTTCTTTAATCAATACATAAAATTATAGTCTTTTTGGCCTGATTAAGAGTCCCTAGGCCTGTCCTGTCATTCCCACCCCACCTAAACAGGGACAAGAAAAAGAAATTCATCTCTGGTACAACATTAGATAAACATAACAAAATCTTTACATGTGGCTTTGGAGAAGGCTGCGAGGATGCTGGCAAACACGACATCAGGGGTCTGGGATGCATCGATGGCACAGTGTATGCCCCTCTTCTGGTAGTAGTCCACTAGAGGGATGGTCTGAGTATGGTAGGCCTCCAGGCGGATTTTCAAGGCCTTCTCATTATCATCTGATCGGCGGATCAAAGGTTCCCCAGTGATCTGAGAAGACAAAGAGAGAATAAAAGGCACACAGTTAGCAAGGTTTCTTTTGATGCAAAATGCAGATGTGAGAAGGTCCCACTCTCTTCAGGATGCTGTCTGACTCCAAAGTTCAAAAGGAGAAAGACAGTTCAGACTCTCTAACAAGGGAGGGAGGGACTCTGCTACTCAAAGCAGCAGAACAGCTGGTCCAAAGAAACTGGCCTGTCAGAAACAGCAACTGTGAGGAAAGGGACTCTTGAGGGAAAGTGGGGCAATGCCCTTTTCTTGCAGCTCTACTAAAGTAGTGTGGCTTCCATGATGAGTATGTACAAGGTCAGAGGCCCCTGAGAACAGGACAATATATCGAATCAGAGCCACTGTAGCAACAATTATCTACCTCGATACTTCTGAGTATTTACTAACATGTCACGTCGTCAACAGTCTAAGTGGTTAAGTAAAGTGAGAAAGAACTTTGTCAATAATAGATTTACCAGGGAGCTCTGGTGGCCTAGTGGCAAGAAGCTGCACTGTAATCCCAGAGCCATGCGGCACGAACTGACCAGATGCTCTGCTGGAGAAGGAGGGACAATCTCCTCCTGTATCAGTCAGTTCCGATTTGATGGTACACATGCACATAAAATAATAAAAAAAAAAATAGATTTACCTACATTATGAGATGTGAATAAAATGAGATAATGGCTTTGGAACTTTTATTTATTCATGACAAAGATAAATATGATAAAATCTTTCTGCTGCCTGGTGTTCTTAAAGAGATCACATGGACTATTCTGAAAAGCGGTACAGCTGTTGCTGTTAGGCAGGTGCTATGGAGTTGGTGCTGACCCACGGTGGTAATACACACAACAGAATAAAACACTGCTGGTCCTTCCTCACCCTCACAATCACTGCAGCCTGGCCCCACTTTTGCAGCCTTGGGGTCAGCCTATTTCTTGAGAATCTTCCTTTTTCTTTTGACCTTTTAATTAACCAAACATGATGTCTTTCTCCAGGGACTCGTCTCTCTTGATAATGTGCCAAAAAGTACGTAAGGCGAAGTCTTACCACCCCCTCGGCTTTAAGGAGCACTCTGCTGGCTGTTACTTGTTTTAAGTCAGACTGGCATGTGGTCTCCTGCTCCTCACCCCCACCTTTTTTGGGGGCTTGCTCTTCTGGCAGTCCATGATACACTTAAAATGGCTTGCTGATACCATAGCTCAAAGGCTTGAATTCTCTTTCAGTCTTCCTTATTTACAGTTCAGCTCTGACAGTGAACATGTAAAGTTTATATGAGACTTTCCTCTTTATATTAACAAGCAATTGGAGACTGTCATAAGAACTGGCACTAGCAAGCTAGTAAAGAGATTCAGAAGAGATCCTGAATCTATACAGCATAGTAATCACTCAGCAGCGGATATTCTTCTAGGACTGGCCAGCATTACTCCATCTCGCACCCTCAGCTCTAGTTCTGGGTTTCCAAGCAGCCTTCTCCTGCCTAGCTGCCCGCCTGAGTCACCACAATGCTTGGAAGGGGTTACTCTCGACAGATGAGAGGTAGAGTCTGGGCTCCAGGAAGACAGTATATAGATTAGCCAATGTTCATTTAACTTACTTGGTTGTGACAGTTCTCGTTTTTAAGTTAGTAATGTTGGTGGAAATAAGGGAAATGGAAAGAAAAAGAAACAGGAAAGGAAGAAGTGGGGAAGGAAGGCAAAGAAAATTTCCTGTCTTGTGTTCACATACATCATCCTTCATGGGTTCCTTCGGGGGGTTGAACTCCTCGTGGTAGGAGCGGCCACTCTTAGGGTGGATCAGCCTGAAAAACAACAAATGAGTATGAGCCAAGTTGCTTGAAATACTGCCCACAGTTACTTAACAGGGAATCAGGGAGGTGAGTAGAAATGGAAGAACTGGGTTCAAGGTTTTTCACCCAGAATTTCTTTCTTTTTTGAGGGAGTGGAGGTTAAAACATTTTTTGAGAAATTTGGGCAGGGGTGGGGGGTGGTGATGGTGTGGCAATGAGGTCAGATACTTATTTCCCAGATCTTCTTGTCAGAAAACCAAGGCAATTCTTATTTAGCAAAATAACTTTCCAGGACAGTATATGCCAGAGTGAGGATGTTTTCTAATTGGACCAAACATTATATATATCTGGTTCAAGAGGCCAATGCTGGCACAACCTCCTACTTTAGGGCTTGAGAGAAAAAGTCTGGTACTGGTCTCACATGTTAGCCATCCTATTCCCCCTTTCATTCAGCAAACTTTAAGTATCTAATCTGAATCGGACCTTAAGCTGAATGTAGGGGCTACAGAGATAGGAGTCAAGGTTCTTGCTCATAAGCAGCACTTAATTTAATGGGTGAAAAAAAAGCCCTATGAAAATAAATCTTCTAAACAGAATTCTCTGCCAGAGATCTATACAAAGTAGATATATAGGTGATAGATGGCACAAAAAAGACCACTATTTTTAAACATGGTTTAGTTATAAAACCAGAAAATACTACAGGAAAAATAAGTCCCAGGGATCCAAACATGACAAGTCAATAGTACATTTTTGAGATCAGTTACCTAAGGGCAGACTATTAGAGGGCAAATATGAAACGAATGGTGGAGTAGAGTTTAGGGATAAGCACTTCTTTGACATCAGAAGTACTGCTGGTCCTGGCACCTGTGCTGAGCCCCTAGGTAAAGAGCCCGTGTTCCCGCCTGGGAAAGGCCAGAGCAGAGGAGCCCAGAAAACAAAGAGGAGGAGGAGACAGGCCAATACTACTCAGCAGTCACGGCTTTTGTGAGTTCATGAAGGTTCTCAGCTCGGAATCAATCAAGTGTTTGCTCATTTAACTGATGGCTACTCTCCTAATAAAGGTCTGTTAAGACCAGAGCATCCCAACATTTTCCACATCGTGGCTCACACAAAAAGTGTTTCTGCAGAACATGGGGAATAAACAGAAGAGGCTGGCTGGTTGTTTCTCCTAGAGGAGCTATCGCCACCTGACTTTGCCCTGTTGCTCAGTGGCTTAGGGGAGCAATATCTCAGCATGCCAGCTGAGCGTTCTGGGTTAGATTACTGAAGCTATGCCTTTATCCATTTATTGCATAAGGTGGGAGGATGGGGGACAAGATGATGGCAGAGAAAATAAGCTGTACTGAGAAGTGAGTAGGTAGGTGACTGTAATCATGTGCCAGGAGATTTGGCCCTCTTCCATTTGAATCCTTGGAGAGGTTCTGCTGGTGCTGAACCGATGCCATCTGTTGTGAAACCAGGGAAAGGGTTGGGGGCACAAGAAGTGGTATTCATTCCCATTCTGTAGAGCCCAGAACACATGACACTCAAATGGCAACGAATGTGACACTCTCCTTTCTACATCTCTACACCTCCCACCCATTTCCACTCTCCAGCGACACTCTCCTTTCTACGTATCTACACCTCCTACCCATTTCCACTCTCCAGTGATACAAAATATACTGCTCTTTCCCACTCACAAGGTCATTTTAAGAGGAATGTAAGGTTCATTGTCTAGACGCGAGATGGGATTTTTAAAAGTTCATTCACAAGTACTGGCCATAAGAGGGCCACGAGCAGTTAAGCCTGACCTGCAGGGAGCCAGGACACAGAGAGATAAGGTCTGGGATGCTACATCCACTGTCACCTTGAGTGTGAAATGTACATATTTAAGGAATGATTGATTACTTGACAATATTGTTAAAAATGAGGCCAGAGGTCTATTCCCTTCATTCCATAAGGGAGGGCCCATCCTCCTCTCTCTGAGAACGTCTTTCTCTTTGATGCCTTTACCTGTCTTTCTGCTATTATTATCTTTGCTAACCAGGAGGCATGAGAACCTCTTAGAAACCTATTAGCATGCTCTTTGCTTAACTAAACTTCTTTTCCTTACTGGAGGGAAAAAAACCCCCCAACAAACCAAAATCAAGGCCAGAGGCAATCCAGAATATTATCATATAAAGTCTTTATCACCTCAGAATTAAACAAGATCCATTTTAAATTAAGCCTAGTTCCTGCCTCTTCTTTCTTCCAAAAATCAGCACAGTGGACTAACGGCCAGAAAGCAGGCATTGACTCCTGGCTCTGTCACTGATCTATAGAGTGAAAACATTTTCACCGTCCAGCCTTCCTCTGTGAGAGGCAAGTTCAAACTAAACCACTCACTTCCAAACCCTCCATGGCAATCCCTCAGTTCTGTTCTTAAGAACTGCTATTTCTCACTCAATCCCAACGTGAAGCCTCTATCACTTCACGTGTGGGTTACCATCAAGCTTCGAGAGGGAAGGTTCCTGTATATTTCTCCCCTCCCACATTAACCTGCACGCCAGGGCCAAGCTAATGTTCTCAGAGCGCTTCTTTTGCCACAACATTCAATGGCTCAAGAACCAACTCTCCCTCCTGACTCTTTATTAAGTCTATCTGTCAGTTTGGTCAAGTCATCTTGCTTTCTTACAGCATTTACTCTACCCTGTTACTCCTCCAACTTTGGGTATATAAGTCTCTGGCATTAGTTTCAGCTAGACCCATTCCTGTCTTTACTCCCTCGTGTGAAAGCATTACTGAAATCCTCATTCAGGAAAGCAGACTCTGACATTATACTATCCTACCCCGCCTTTCCTCCCTGGCTCCAGTTTCCCCTTCTTGGACTTCCTACTGCCCTAAATAGCCCAGAAGAGCTCAGATTTGTATGCAGACTCTTGAGGTCAGTGGGCCTCGTCATATTGCTCTTCTGTATCCCCTTCTGATGCCCTGTTGCAAGCACCTAGCACTATGTAACACACAAAGAAGGTCCTCAGGAAACTGGGCCAATCAAATCAGAGGTTCCCAGTGTCACCAACATCTCTTCTTGCCAAGGGTTTGTACCAGAGACCCCATCCTCTACCCTTATTTGGCCTAGCTAAATTTTGCTAGTCTTTTCTGTGCTCACTGCAGACACAAAGAAGTAAAATACAAAGTGTCTACAAAGAAAGAGTCTATGGAATACCTGTCAACAGGAAATTCAGACATTTGAAAAGAAGCCAATATAAAGTGGAACCTGATATATTTTATAGTCTTCTAAGTAGTATTTTTAATGGTTGCTCTGTCTCCTGCTTTCCTTGAAAATACAGACAAGAGATACATGGAAAAACAAAGAACCTCATTAAGAAATCAAAGTAATAAAATTTTAAACAAGAAAACATTTTCCCTCTAATTAAATCCAAAATCTCACAAGCTCTATTTGTAGCACAATTTAACAATGAACTACGGAAAGAAACACAAGTATATACAAGCAGGAGAGTAAGTACATGACAGTTTATCTACTGCAGAGAACCACGCAGCAATTTGAAATAATGGTCACAAGTTTCTGATATAAGCCTGTGAGTGATCACCTTCTTGAGACTCTATTACAATGGCAAATAAATGAAAACAAACACCCGAACTACAAATCATAATAAAGAAAGGAAGGCCCATTATTAGTGAGAGCTTCCAATGCATCTCTGAAAGGCACAAAGGGGACAGGAAACTGATCAATAAAATAGGATAGTTTCTTGTCCACTGAAGCAATGGCCTTTCAGAACAAATTTTTCCAGAAGTGAAAACATTTCTGTGCTCAATGATGACTACCAAGAAAAATATTTTAATGCAAAACACATAAGAAAATAAAGAGTTATATTGATGAAGGTGGCTGAATTATGAGCAAGTTCCTCTCGAGTTTATGTAGATAGTCACAATGCCAAATGAAATCAGATTTTTAACAAACCATTAAAAGAGATATATATGTATGTAAGCTATGCATCTGAGACCAGGACAATGAATAAGGATGACAGAAAAAGAATTGATGCCTTTGGGCTGTGGTAATGGAGAAGAGCATGAATATTCCATGGACAGCCAAGAGAACGAATAGATGTCTTAGAGAGGGTGCAGCTAGAGTGCTGTTTGGAGGCAAGAATGATGAAGCTTTGCCTCACTTACTTTGGACATATTGCTAGGAGGTGCTATTCCTTGGAGAGGGATATGATGCTGGAAAGGGTGGAGGGTCGGTGAAGGAGAGGAAGACCCTCAACCAGGTGAACTGACACAGTGACTGCTGCAATGGGCTCTTGTGCGTCAGAAAGTGAGGAAGGTGAAGAACAGGACTGGGTTCAAATCTTTTGTTCATAGAGTTGCTATGAGATGTGCTTGACTTGATGGCACGTAACCACATGTAAGAAAATGAAGATTTCTTGAGCATCTACTATAAGTAATGATCTTAATATACATTTTTATGCTATCTGACATGCATAATATAGTTCCTTAAAGCAAGTACTATTAACCCCAATTTACAAAGAAAATAGCCTTAAGAGAGGTTAAGAAACTTTTTTACAGCAAGAGCTGCAAAGTGATAAGACTCAGGTATTTACCGATTTCAAATATATTACTTTCCTTTCCATATCCCACCACTTTAGCAGATATCACCAAATAAAACCAACCCATGCTGAAATGGCACTACATTTCACAGCTGAGATTAGGCAACAGCAAGTCCCACAGTTTGACCAAGTCTGAGGAAGCAGGAGAAAACCATATCTTCCTCTCAGGGGTTCAGGAGACAAATACCTTCCTGTGATTCTCCGGATGAGCAGAGAGTCTGGGATACTGAATTCAATCACAGAGTCAAGCTTCTCTTTCCTCTTCTCCATGAGGTCATCGAGCTGTAAAAGAGTGTGCGGCCCACCTAAGCTACTTCATCAGACCCATCTCCCTAAAAGCAATTAAGAGATAAAGGGCTAGAGCTCATGGTCGTGAAGTGCTGAAAGCTGAGCAACCTACCATTTCTGCCTGCCTCACGGTCCGAGGGAAGCCATCTAAAAGAAAACCGTTTTTGCATGAAGGGGTCTCCAAATTCTTCTCAATGAGCTCTACCACCATTTCATCGCTTACCTAGAAGTCAAGAATAAAACAGCCTTGGGTTCAAGTGCTATTCACACGACATTAGCCTAACTCTAGAGTCCAAAGATTCCATTTAGATAACCTGCTTCCTAAACAGAATGTCTTCTTGAAGAAACTCTGGTAGCCTAGTAGGTAAGGCGTTGCTCTGCCAACCCAAAGGCAAGTGGGAGTTTGAACTCACTAGCTGCTCTGAAGGAGAAAGATGGGTAATTTCCTCTCATGTGATTTATAGCTTCTGAAACCTCATTCAAGGATGAGCTATGAATCTCTTCTCAACGACAACAAACCACGTGTCTTTTTGACTTCCAAAGGCCAACATCAGATCAAATGTGGAATGGCTCCAATGGTAAATGTGATTTATGATTATTTTTTGCGGCTGCCCTAGACACATTCTCTTCTCCTAAAATTCTTCTATGTCCTAATAATCTGAGTGAGAGAAGACCTCACCACCTGTCACCCGAAGAGGAAAGCTCCATCTGTGTCTTGAATATCAGTCCTACTGCTACATTCATTATAATAACCATTAGATAACAGGTTATTAGCAATCCGCTGTCCTCACTCTGAACACTGGGAAGGTAGAATACACAGTGAGAGGTCACTTGAGAAGGGCTCTAGGAAAGAATGGAGGTTGGACAGGTTACAGAAAGGCTTCGATTTTTCCTGTTTCACAATTTTGCATCGGCCAACAGGAACATGACTGTGATGTGTACCTGATGACATCTCAGGCATGTGGCAACAGAGCAGCTTACTGAATTGCCAAGACTGAGTCAGAAACCAGGAACTAGGGAGTCAGCTCAACATTCCTCTCAGCATTTACAAAGATCTCAATGAGGACTCTTTCTAGCTTTGCAAACCTGGTTATCCTCTGGGGTCTTCAAAGAAACAGAAATGCCCTACCAGCATTACCGAGAAGGCTGCCCAAACTGGCAGCTAATGTTCTTTATCTCCCAGGGCCAGCTGTGAACTTGGGGACAAAGTATAGGTGAAGGCTGGAGATAAGGAGTCTCACTGCCATACTGTAGCTTTTCCTTACTACAGGATCTCCTGTCAAGGCCCAAAGTCTAAAACATCTGGCTTGCTGGCTTCACTCAAGGCCTCACTAATACCAAGGGAGAGCTAAAAGAAAAGGGGAGGCAAGTAGGAAAGGGGCACTCTTCAACATACCTATAGACTGCTAAAGCCCAACAGGAGGTGACCTGGGAATGAAGGAAAAGTTCAACACCTTCCCCAACCAACATACTAGGACATGCAGAAACCAGAGGACCAAGTACAAAATGACTTTAGAGGGCAATTTTCAAAGACTGAGCCCAGGATAACGCAGTTACACATAAGTCCCAGCACTACAGTGTTTGCTTTTTGCATATAACATGCAAACACAAATAATGCATAATGTCTACATAAACTAACTACTAAACAGCAAAAAACCCCCATATAACGTACTCTATATTTGTTTAAAAAGGTGGAAATCAAGATTTATTAGGTAATAGATTCTATCTGTTCAAATGAAATGTCTTAAAAAAATATGATAAAATGTTATCATATCCCATAAATGGGAAGGATCACAGTCATCACAAGAGACTGCCATACAGAGACAAAGAACCTAAGCTATGACAGTAGGTTAAAAAATACCTCTGTGACTTCTTAAGGCTTCTCTTGACTATATATCTTTGTTTCTTCCTGTAGGGATGGCAGTTTCATGTTTAGCTCTAAAAATTAGGTATATTACAAAACTTACCAGTACAAAAGAACCTCAAGAATATTGAATAAGTAAAAACAAGCGTCATGAATTCAGAATAAACAAAGCTACTTGCTATTAAAAGTACATACAATCTGCCAATCTGTTTAAATATTCAAGCTCAGGACTGTCTTAAAATCTTTCTAGTTCGCAAACACCTGAAATCTGGCTAGGAATCACCATCTGGGACAGTGCAGGTCTAGATTTTGAGGAAAATCTATAATGACTGGTATTACCCACCAGTGAAAACCTACCAGTTTCCCAGCATCCATGGTTGCCTTCAGTTTTTTCCCCAGTTCGGAGCCAGAAGCTACCATGGCCCTAAGCATATCCCCAGTAGCCAAATGGCAGACACAGAAGTTTTTGGCCAATTTGGGTGCCTGTAAAGAGAAAAACCAAAACCACGGTACAGTTAACACTGCAGGTTCTAAAATCAGACTGCTTTAGTGTGAATCTGATCCTGCCACTTAGCAGTTGTGTGAACTAAAGCAAGTATCTATTTCTATCCTGCAATACAAGGAAAACAGTACCTTACATTACATTCTAATGTAACAGCATAGGGTTGTGGTAAGACGTGTGAAACAGTTCACCTAGTACAAAGGAAGATAGCTGTCATCACTATTTCCAATAGACACATTCTTGACGCATTGTCAGTTTCCCACTCTAAATGGGAATAAGAAAAATGAGAGCACCATACTGCACACAGATGCTGTGACATTTAAATGAGATAATGTATATAAAGCACTTGGCACAATGTCTGGCACATAACATGTGCTGAATGAATGGCTGTGTAAATCGTCAGTGAGCCTGCCTGCATGCAAGCAGATCTAGTTCTTCTATTTCCATCACTATGGAGCTGTCTTGTTTTTGACAAATCATTTAATCTCAGAGGTTCAGTTTTCCCATCTGTTTATAATAAAGGCAAAACAAAACAAAAGTTTTATATGAAGTTATATGTGCCAGAGTTGGAAGTGACTCACAGCTGAACCTCCAGTAGGTTTTCAGAGGCTGTAAACAGGATAGGAAGAGACTGCCCATCTTTCTCCTGCACAGCAGCTAGTGGATTCGAACTGCCTGCCTTTGGGTTGTCAGTGCAATTCCTTACTACTAGGCCATCATAGCTGCTTCTGTATGACGAGTAGTGGGCAGATAGTAAACACTTACATATTAATTTTAGCAGGCAGGATAGCTGACAGGTTAAGAGTCATCCTGCCTATTTTTCACGCTCGGTCACCAATCACTAGATACATAACAGAGCTACTTCATCTTTTTGTTTCAAATTTTCCTCTTAGTAAACTGGAGATGGTAGCAGGACTGATAATAGAGAGTTGATGAGATTATAACAGAATTTGACATATATAGATAGCATTCAGCACACACAAATTCTCTATGAAGGATTACTGTAACCTCCACCCTAATTCCATATTCATTCACACAGGAAAACAACTCCTCAAAAAACAACATTTACTGAATGCCTCTTCCAAGCAGTTTGTTGGAAGCCAGTGAAAGAGATGAACAGGAGTTAAAGATACCCAGTAACCTCAAAGAGCTCATAGTTTGGTAGAACATGTGTCAGAACACACAAGGACGAAGAGTCTCTGGACATTCAGCTTTTTTCCCACTGGGCTGGCGGGAGGTCAGGGGGTTAGTTTTCATTCAAACACATTTTATAATTATTAATTATAATTGATTAGGTCCTTTTCTCAATGTCACATCAATCCTCACTGTATCTACCTGTCCACTAATCTCTGTTGCTCAGGTATTTACCCTCCTCCTTCAACCGCTTGCTTGTCCGATTCTCCTTCCCCATTTGAACAGTTACACATGTCCCGTCCCATGTTGCTAAGTGCAATAGTCAATTTCTTCCCGATGAACTTCTCTTCCCTTGATCCTTTACAGTGCCAATATAATTACTTTTGTAGTGGCCAAAAAGAATGCACAATTTGAGGAACAGAGCATGTTCAAGAATCAAATTATTTTCTGGTTCAAATTGTTTTGTAAATTAGACTTGGATTCCTGTTCAAACCAATTCACCGAAGTTTTTGTTATGTGCCGCTGAGTTGCTTCTGAGTCTTAGTGACCCAGTGTGAGAGAGTGGAATTACCCCATTAGGGTTTCTATGCTGCAATCTTTTTAGGAGTAGACTGACAGGTCTGTTCTCCAATAGGGTGGCTGAAAGCTTTGAACCACCAAATTAACTGGCCACTACAATGCTTTATCACTGAGTCTCCCACTTAGTACGTGCACGCGTGTGTGCAAACACACACACACACACACACACACACGCGCACGCTTTAGACAGGTAAGGTTTAATGCAGCAAATTTTGATTTGTGATTTTGTACTGATACAGTTTAAACAAGCAAATGAATAAAAACAAGCAAAATTAAATTTAGATGGGAAGAGGTTAAAACTCTGTGCTTTTAAAACCAATGAAGGTCAGGAGGCTGACAAAAGAAGACTCTGGTCTTCCAGGCTGGCAGTATAAGCAGACTTCCAGAGAAGAGAACACTGCCTTCTGCCAACCTTTCTCCTTGTTACTGACATCAGGTCTGGTGAACAATTTGGAGGTCAAGCTTGCCTTAGGAGAAGGGATGACCAAAAACATCTCAGAGAAGAGCTGTTAACACAGACCTACTCTTTCTATTTTTATCGCTCTCCAACTGTGGGACTCTCTTGCGATGTTCCAGGTGACTGACATCCACAGCTATATGGAAAAGTGGCACCAATAAAAAAAAGACAGAGGAAGGACAAAAGGAGGCCCTGAAGGGGCTCAAGGAGAGTGGGAAGAGGGGTCCTGCACGGAGGGAACGGCCACTAATATTCGGAAACAAAGTGTATATATATACTGTTGAATGGAAAATTAATTTGCCCTGTAAATTTTCACTCAAATAATAACAACAATAATAACAGACAGAGATATTTGTACTTGAAGTCTGGCTAAGACACTCAATGCCTTAGGCTGATTTTTTGACTTAAGAGTCCGATTTTCTCACCAGTTAAGTAGGGATTAATTCCTTAAGGTTTTTGTGAGAACTAAATAAAGTACCAAACATATTAGGTCTACAGTAAACATTCAATAAATAAAAGATCATCTTCCACAGTCTTTCTTCTTTGCTCCACTTTTTCCTTACAAACAATAGATATTTGATGAAATAACTTCAGTATAATCTTTACACTTATGCTTTAGGGAAGCATTTCTCCAACTCTAATAAACACACTACTCCATACCTCTTGGAGGAGACCTGAGCATTTGATGTTTAACCACATTCCAGGGGACACCTGGATGAACTACACTTTGAGATGTGACCCAGAGTCCAGGCAATAATTACTCAGGCTTTGATAAGGTCATGAGTCACCTGCAGTTCACAAATCATACACGGTTACTGAGCCCAGAAATCAGGTTCATCACCATGAGAGGCCATGGGAAGCAGGAAGATTTGGGGAAGAATGGAAAAACTCCTGGAGGAATAGGGTGGGTTTAATAGTTCTCAAATGTTAACATAGTACCATAACCACCTGGGACAACTGCTGAACCACTAGGTCAATTGGTAGAACCATGAGAGATGGAGAAGAAATTGAGGTTGTTAATAATTTCAGCTTGCTCTGCTCCACAATCAACACTCTTGGGACCAGCAGTCAGGAAATCAAAAGTCGAACTGCATTGGGAAGTCAGCTGTCAGGGACCTCTCCAAAGTGATAAAGAACAATGATATCAGTCTAGAGACTAAGGTGTGCCTGATCCAGGCCATTGTTGTCACAATTATTTGCTATGCATTAGAGAGCTGGACAATGACTAAGGATGACAGAAGAACATCAGCTGTTCTGTGAGTTGTGGTGCTGAAGAGGACTGAACATACCATGGATCAAGAGAAAAAATAAAGTCTGTCTTGTTGTTGATTGCCTTTTAGTCAAGTATGACCCTATGAACAAAAGGCCTGAAGCCTTCCTATAACTATCAACATTTTTCAAAGTTCATAGGTCTGTCTTAGAGAGGGTGAAATCAAGTTTCTCCTCAGAGGCTAGGATTTTGAAGCTCCCTCTCACATATTTTAAGCATGTGTCCAGGAGGGACTGCTCCTTGAAGGAGGACATCATGCCCAGAAAGGTGGAAGGACAGGAGAGGATAGGAAGACCCTGGATGAGATGGAGTGGCATGGTAACTGGAGCAATGGGATTAGGTGTGTCAGAGTCAGTGAGACTGGTTCTTTTTTTTTTTTTGAGACTGGTTCTTGACAGGGGAGGGTTCAGAGCTGTTACAGAGTCACTAGGAGTTGAGGGCTACTCTGTGGCACATAACAAGTCCAGAGCCATTATTTATAGGTGCTCTAAGTTGTAGTCAACTTGATGGCATGTGACAATAACCAACAGAAAAGTCTGTGTTTCTTATCCACCAGTCATTTTGCAGGAGAAATAGGCCATTTCATCCCTTAAAGGTTTACAGCCTCAAAACTGGATGGAAGACTGACTGGAATTAAGATTAGTGTAACGGCCATGGATTTGGGAGATATTTTTGGTATTGGTGACTGAAATTTGAACTAATCCCAAACATTTGCTTTTTCACCTACCCTTTATATTTCTGCCTCCAGTTTCCCATCATTAAAGTTTATGCACATGCATCTGGAATTATCTCCTAATATTCTTTTGGACTTATTTCCCCTCTTCCCCTACTTCAGTAGCCTTCAACGTTTCCTGAAGGCAACAGAGAAGAAGTTAAAATGTTTTAAACTTGGCATTCAGTGCCCTCCAGTCTATTTCCGATACATCTCAATCTCTGAATTAACTTTCACTATGTGGTGCACAGTTAAATCACTCAGCAACTAACTAAAAGTTAGAGGTTCAAGTTCACCTATGGATACCTAAGAAGAAAGCCTAATGTTCTACTTCTGAAAACTAGCCATTAAAAACAGGATGGAGCAAAGTTGTTAGGTGCCATCAGGTCGACTTATAGTGACCGTGTTTCAATATGCTCTATTTTTTGCTTTATCCTGCACAAGGATATCGTTGCCCTATCACTCCAGTCTCCATCATATTCAAGCCCATATGCAAAGGTGAAGTGCCTGGGGCCCACCAAAGGACTGGCTAGTTTGCTAATAATGTAAATAAGAGAAATGGCATCCTTGTGAGGTAAGACTATGCAACTAAGGTGTATGGAACCCTACATGGTGATAAGCCAGTTTTGCCATTATGCTAGGTTTAAAATGAGCCATTTCAGTGGTGGGAGAGCATAACTTCTGTCATCAAGAAAGAAGAGCCAAGGATACAGAGTACCACCCTTTGGACCTGAGATCCCTGTGCTGAAATGTCTAGATCCAGGAGACAGATAGCTGTACCATAGAGATGGCGGCTGAGGTGGCAGAACTAAGAGATTGGTGCAAATAA